GTCTTTGAGGTCAAACTCTTTTCTAACGTCTTTGAGGTCAAACTCTTTTCTAACGTCTTTGAGGTCAAAATATTTCCTAACGTCTTTGCAATCAAAATACTTCCTAACGTAAATCTCCCGCTGGAAATCATCACGAAGAAGTTGAAACGAATGACTTGCATATTTCTGGACTACTTCTGCTTTGCTCTGGGCTTTAATTGTAGGAGGGACTGGGAGGAAATTGCTCCGCGGCGTTGACACGAACAGATTTCTTTCTTTCTTTGAGCGATGGCGTTTTCAACTTTGAATCCCTTTCATCAGAAACTGGGTGAAAATCAGAGTCCTAAACAATAATTAAAATAAAATTTCCATCTCTTGACAGAGAGAGAAATTGTTTATAGTAAATGTGCCTTTCAGCCTTCCCTCATGCCTTCTCCCAAAAGGGCTGATTAGGATGTAATAATTGGGGATGATAGCAGGAGGAAGACGACAATTCCATTTAATTAAAGATAATTTATTTTACTTTAACTTGGTGATGTCCCACATGAATAAGAGTAGATTTAGCGGATAGATTTATTAATGGGTACTGACATCTCTGCTGACATAAAAAGCAAACATTTTCTTTCCTCATTGTTTTTATTGTGTCTCGGCACCTGAAATCGCTGTCACCCCACTTCCCGCCGGTCCCGGCGATGAAGACGTTTCCGCAGAGGGCACAGCTCCTGATTGGTTACTCAAGACAGGTCTGAGGCGCTGAGTTCCGATCAGGACCCACCTCTTCCTAAAAATCAAACCGCGGGAAGGCGGAATCCAGTCTGGGCTCCTTTCTCCTTGTTGCCGAAACCATCATTTCCACTTGACTTGGTTGAACATCCAGTTATCCAGAAGTTCCCTGGTTCACACAGAGTGAAACCCTGGCTTCTTGGAGGACGTGCAGAGGGTGCATCCACCTCTTTGCCGGCACAGGGATGAGCCGAAGGATGCTTGATGGTAGGCATGGGCATGGTGTCCCGCCTGGTAGTGGAGTCTCTTATAGCCGATTTCCTGGGAATGCTCCATCAGCCTTAGTCCTAAACGGAGATATTTCCATCTTTGGTGCTCTCTAGTGAGGTATGACTTCTTCAGGTTGTCCCAGTCCCTCCCAGTTCACCCAGCTCAGCCTGAACCCGCTTCAGTCCCCTCTTTCCGCACCCATGAACATTCCAGCCCCGTGACGAGCTCCAGTGGTCCCGTTGTTGGGTGGCACCATTGGGTGGACAGCCCATCACTTGCAGGAGCTGGTGTAGGGACTTTAGGCAACCAGATGAGGTCTAATTAATAATTGTATATGCTTTAAATTATTCGATCACGCTGTGCTGGGTAGATCGTGACCAGAAACACCGGAAGATTGCAAAATTAAGGCTCTTTTTTTGGCAGAGAGATTTGAGAGGAGAGTACGGGCAGATGTCTGATGCATTCACTGTCTCTGCACGGATTTGTAAACAAGAGGGTAGAAAATGAAAAAAAAAGTCGACATAAAATGGTTCTCAGTGGAGAAAAGGAAGTTAGAAAGCAGATCCCGAAAGAAGGAAAATGCATTAAATAGTCCTTTGCCTTTTCTCTGTCTCTTTTGGGAACTCCTTTACTTAAAAAAAAAAAAATAAATAAATGCTTAAAAATGTCTTACGTGAAACGCGAGTAAGAATTCACGTATGGAAACTGCCCCTGGAACTCGGCCAAGTGGCACCTTTGTTCTTTTCATCGTCACGTTTATTTCTCTTTTCCCACTCTTTCTCCTCTGCTCCCTCTTTATTGCTTTTTGGAGGTCTGGTTCTGCCTTACGGAGCATCTGCAGCTGTTGAAATCCTGGGAGCTGCAGGATGTCGGCTGAATTTTTTTAATTTTGTCCCATCTCTTGGGCACACCCCTGGTTCTTTGTCCTTTCCTCCTGCCGGCACGCTCTCAGTTTTGTTCTCTTGCTTCTCCTCCTGGGCATGTCTCTTGGTCTTCTCCGTTGCCCTCTGCAGCCTCGGGGTCCTGCCCTGAGCCCCGCCGCGGCAAGGTCGATCTAGCCGGTGCTCCCCGTGAGGGTTGTGTGTTGGTCTCACCTGAGGGTTGTGTGTTGGTCTCACCCAAATCGGGTAAGTTGGCCAACTCTTCCTCTCCACTCTTGAGTTGCCAGCTCCTCATCGGCTTTCGAGGAGTCAGCGTCTCTTGGATCTATAACTCTTCTCATTTCTCCGCAGCCTCTGTTGCATCTTCTGGGTTGACGTGTCTTTCCATCCCATCACCCGTGCGTTCTCTGAACGCCGTCAGAGGTGGTGACGGCAGGCTTGGGTCTCGGAGGAGCCCAACCGGAGTTGTGTTGTTGTTGTTCAAGCCTGGAGTACTGTCAGGGCAGGACTCTGGTTCTCAAAGAACCAGCTCTCTGGTTCTCCCTGTGCCCATCCCTGTGACCTGGTGGAGGCTGATCCTCCCATGCTCACATGGTGACCTTGGTGGCTTAAAAAAAAAACAAAAAACCCCACAACAAACAAGATGTTGAGAAAATGTCTGCTGTGCCCATCGCTATGGCCCGTTGCTTCTTAGTTACTGTATTTCCTTCTCTCTGGATTTTTCTCTTCTCTTATTTCCACTTTTCTTTCCTCTCTTTTCATTCCACGTCACTGGGGCTTCCTCTTGCCTTAGGTGGCCAATCTCTCCTTCCCCACTCTTTGGTGGTCTCCTTTTCTCGCTCCTCTTCCTTCTCTTTCCCGAATTCCTGTTGGAAACAGTTGTGCCGTGGGGGGACCGTTGGGCGAGCTCTGCCTCCACGTTGCCCCAAGATCCCAGAAAAACGATGTTGATGGTAGAGCAGAACTCACCTGCGGTTCCCAACCCGGCTTTGGTCACGATCCCGGACAGCTGCGCGATGAAGACAAACGACAGAAAGATATTCCTGCGCAGGGATGACATAATGTTGTAATTTTCTTTTTTTCCTTGTTTTTTCCCTGCCTCTAATTTAGTTGACCCCTTTTTAACTCTGGGTGTTCACGAGATGTGGTCTTCAGCAGTCCCATCTGGAAGACATTTGAACTGAACAGGATCTACGGACTTTAGAGGATCATATAGGATGGGATAAGGCCAAAAAAAAAGGCAGGCAGCTAATGTTGAGGGTCTGCCCAGCGTAGAGCAGCTCTTTCGGGCGGGAGTGGAACAGCCGGTGCGCGGCACGGAGATGGTTTGGTCCAGATTCCAGCATTTCACCTCAAAACAAGCTGTGGTTTGTAAAAACTGGTTCTTTGTAGCAGCTTTTGAGTCCACGTCGCTCTCCCCAAGTTCCTACTCAATGGCGAGAGGAGACCCAAGACCCAGTGGGGTGGTGCCGCGCTCGGCTGGAACCGCGCCGTTGCGCGTACGGCACGTTGAACTCGCGATCAATGAGTCTCACTCCGATTTTGGTTTGATTATTTTGAATAAACACCAGCAGCGGGAGAGGAGATAAATCACGGCACCAAACCGCGGAGCCGGACTCGCCGGCCGGAGAACCGCAGCGGCGGAGATGCCGCGCCGCACAGGTGGTTCTTCTGGCTCCGTACACTTGTTTTTCACGGTGCGCCGCGCACTTACCGGCTCAGCGGGACCTGCAATTCCATCCCTCTCGTGGGGCCAAGGGCAATGGGGGGGGTTGGTTTACATGTGCTTTTCCACGGCGGGGCTCATATGGTCTCGATTAGCGTTTGATGGCAACGCCAACCCCGAGGCCTTCGGCGTGTTTGTCCTGCGAGAAAGATCTGGAAGAGCCGACATCTGGTTTGCGTTGCGGCGCTCGCAGGTTGATAGAATAAACCACGGGGTGAAGTGGGTGGCTTTTCCTTCCGGCCCCCCTCCCAGACCAGCCCTGCTAATACGCTTCGGCGACGGGACTGCGCTTTTCATCAGCGCCCCCGCGCCCCGCTCCTCTTCCTCTCCCCCTGCTCCTCTTCCTCTCCCCCCACCCCGCTCACCCGCGGCAACATGTGGCCCCAATTAGGGACCTGTGGTTTAGAAAAGTGCCCTTCTGCTGGAAACCTGGAACAGGTCAGCCCGCCGCTGCTCCTCACGCATCTCAAAGTACAGAATTATTTCATTTTTTTATCTTTTTTTTTTTTAACTAAAACTGGGGAAATTCATCTTTACCCTGGCAGAGCAGTCGCTGGTCTGATGGCACAGCCGGGAGGAGCAAGACAAGCCGCTGAGCGTGTCCCTTGAGCAGTTGTTAAGGAGAAAAAAGTGATTTTTATTATTTTTCAAAAAATTATTTTGAAATATTTAATGATTTCGGTGTTGCTGGGGAGACCGTTTCGCTCGGCGCGCTCTGGCCGAGCCAACGGGTGCTGCCAAGGCGGATGTCTGGACCAGGTTGCCCAGAGGAGTTGTGGATGCCCCATCCCTGGAAGTGTTCCAGGCCAGGTTGGATGAGGCTTTGGGCAACCTGGTGTAGTGGAGGGTGTCCCTGCCCATGGCAGGGGGGTTGGAACTGGATGATCTTTGAGGTCCCTTCCAACCCAACCCATTCCATGATTCTATGATTCTATGTTGGTGGGAAGAGGCAGCGCGGCGCCGCGGGCTCAGAGGGACTCTGGCTGGTTGGGTACTCACCTAAAAAAGTTTTTTCCCCCCCTCAGTGCAAAGTTGACATCTAATAACACGGAGCAGGTTGTTCGGGAGCGCAGGTTTCTTCCTCGCGACAACTCTGGTAGCCGGTCCACTTTGCCGATCGGCAACGCGCTTCCGATTTCATAAATGGGTTCTTGGAACTCTTCATTTTCGAGGAGTTTCACCACGTATTTTCAAGGAGTTTCACCACGTATTTTCAAGTTGGGGCAGCTGATTGATGGGTTTATTCTCTTCGCAAATGTCTCCTTACAGCAACCTACTTAAACGGATTGCTCCGGATACGGAAACGCGCCGCTCTCCGTCACGGTTGTGTTTTACAACCTGTACGTTGCGTTCGTGCCGTGCGTGCCAGGTGACAGATTTCTTTTTTTTTGCCTAATTTCACCTCGGGTGTGAAGGCCGGGATGGGGCTGCCCTCCCGTCGCGAGCAGGAAAACGGCGACGCGGATGAATTTGAGGGAAAATCGGAAATCTGGCAACGGTATAACCAGCGCCTGGGAGTTGAGGGAGTTGGGAAGAGCCAAGTTGGAAGGGGAAAAGAAAAAGAAAACCTCTCCCGTGTCCTTACGTGGGCTGAATTCCCAAACACCTGCAGCCAACTGCCCCCAGCCAACCTGGTGGAGAGACCGCAGTGGGTCAGGGGGACGGCCCGGCCTGTAGGGTGTCAACGTTGGAGGCATCTCCCGGTGCTTGGCAAGCGCACCCATCGCCACCGGAGATGGCTGCAAGGGGCGGCCGCGTCCTTGACTGGTGGAGCTGGAGTTTCTCCCCCCCAGCCCTTACCAGCACGCTCAATAGCTAATATTATTACTTATTAATAGGCGTTTCCAAGGCCATTTCTCCATGATTTGGTCAACTCTGGATCACCAAGGCTTGAGCACGTCACCGTGGGCAGAGAGCGTGGTCCGTGCAGGGATGCTCAGCTCCGGTCGGAGGCATCGGGGCAGCACCCATCACATGGGCACCTCTAACCGGGTCTCTCAAATACGGAAAAATAAAAGATGTTGGAAACGTGTTCCCAGGACAATGAGCTTTTTGGAAGAATGAAAAAGGAAAAGGTGTTTGGAACTCGCGGGCAGGCTCCCAAAAACGGCAACAACGTGATAATTTTTTCATCATGTCCTATTACAGGATGGCATGTTTTTCCCAGATCGTTCTCTTCCTCATTTCTTCAAACCTCCAGGCATGAGTCAGAGTGATTTTTTAATTTTTTTTTTTTTTTTTCCTGAATCCAAGCTCTCTTTTCCGAATATTAACATCTTTAAATCTCTAATATATTTTGTGTCACATCAGAAAGTCGCTTGGACACATCTGAGGTTTGTTCTCGTTCGCCTTTTCGGAGACGGCGGATTACCATTGTAACCAGTGCCATAAATTCACCCCATTTTTACTTTCACTGGTCTGGATCAAGTCCTTGGATTGTTTTATCAACACTTAACTCCTGATAATTTACGTCTCTGTTTAAACGAGGTTATCGGCGCAATTCCTTCTTTGGAAAATTATCTGATGGCCTTTTTTGGAGAGATAATTAATGTGATTAAATAAGCCACTTCTTGCCTTTTTTTTTTTTTTTTTTTAGAGCACTGCTTTGTGCAAGAATGACAAAAAGACAGGGGCCAAAAAAATCAGAATATTGTTTGGTTAATGGGCTCCTACGCTCGTTTTATTGCCTGTGGAAAAGTCCTGCGGATGCAGAAGGAAACAAATCCGGAGACTTTTGCACATTTGAGCACGAGAGGAATTTCCATGCGTGCTCTTAGCTGACGTCGTGATAACATGAGAACCCCAGTGCGATCGAAACGGGAAAATAATGAATATTTATGGGGAAAGTGACACTTCTTCAGGACCCAGATGATTTATTTTTATTTTTTTTTTAGAAAAGCCACCTTCTATCTCCTCAAATCCTTCCTACGGCTGAGCCTGGCGCGGCAAAACGAGTTCATTTGCTTCAGCCCGGGGGCTTTCACTGCGTGAAAGTTCAGCTGTAAAACCAACAGAAGAATAAATCAAGTCTTTGTCTTTGGCGAGGAAGAGTCCCACCCAGTTACATGACACTCTGTAAGCTGGCATTTATTTTGGCTTGTCTTTTTCCCATCGTTTTCGTCCCCGCCAGCCTCTGGCCGCCCTCCCCGCCGCCTCCTCGTGCTTTGCTTTGCTCCTCTTCCCAACCTCTGAGCTGACCCGTGTGCCCATCCCATCCCGTCCCAAAGCCTTTGGTCAACGACTTTATGCAACTAAGAACAGTAAAAAAAAAAGCTGAGGTGCAAAGCCAAATTTCCGTCGGGGGGAGTGTCATTTTTCTTGAGCTGGAGTCATAGAATCACAGAAGGGTTTGGGTTGGAAGGGACCTCGAAGACCATCCAGTTCCAACCCCCCTGCCATGGACAAGGACACCCTCCACTACACCAGGTTGCTCAAAGCCCCATCCAACCTGGCCTTGAACACTTCCAGGGATGGGCCAGCCACAACTTCTGCAGGCAACCTGTGCAAGTGCCTCACCACCCTCAGAGTCAAGAAGTTCTTCCTTAGATCCCATTGAAATCTCCCCTCTTTCAGATTAAAGCCATTGCCCCGTGTCCTGTCACTACACGTCCTCTCCAGCTTTCTTGTAGCCCCTTTAGGTGTTGGATGGTGCTGGAAGGTCTTCCCGGAACCTTCTTTTCTCCAGGCTGAAGAACCCAACTCTCAGCCTGTCTCCGTAGCAGAGGTGCTCCAGCCCTTGGATCATCTTTATATCTCTCCTCTAGACCTTCTCCAGCAGCTCCATGTCCTTCTTCTGTTGAGGGCTCCAGAATAGGGCACTGTATTAAAAAAAAAAAAGACTTTGGCTTTGATTTGTAACGTTGAGCTCGTCCCAGACACTGACCTGTCTGCCCGGGTGACGTTGAGGCTCACAAAGCCCCAGGAGCACCTGTGCCAGCTGGGGAGGCCACGCCAGGCTGCCCAACTCCATCCCACGGCCCCGCTCGGGCTCTGGGAGCCCCGAGACACGCGGGGAAGTTACTCAGCAGCCCACAACCTTCAGCCTTTTGCTCCCTAAGTTTTCTTTCTGGGTGATTTTCTGCGCTTTTGGGTTTGTTTTTTTTTTTTTAATGAGTCCTTTGCTCCCCCACTTTGGCTGGGAGATACCAGCAGAAGAAGACCGGGGGCGCTTTTCCCAACCCCACCGGCGGCCGTGCTTTCGCCGCTGGATTTCTCTTCCCTTTCGCCGTGACCTGGGAACGGCGGAGCGGGCGCTCTGCCAATTTTGTGATCTGCTGCCTGCTTCGAAATGGAGGCAGGAAGGGATCCATTTTCATCAAGGAGATGACAGTGCTTCAGTCTTCCTGACCATCTGGAGAGAGGCACCTCCAAAGCGCCGAGGAGCGCAGCCGGCGGATGGGCAGGGAGAATCAATTGCTCCGTCGTTTTATAGATTGTGCAATTAATAATCGTGCCTATGACTGGGGTGTTTTTTTTTTTTGGGGGGTGGGAATTAGTTGAGTTGGGTTTTGGGTCATTTGGAAACGTTCTCCTGGTTGAACGATGAGGAATAAATCTCCGGTGTGTTAGTAAAGGAGTGGAAGGAGCGTTTTGATCCGCATCCGAAGTTTATTGCCCGGACAAATAGGAAAAATCTGAAGGAAGGAGGAATTTTTCTCCCCCCCTCGATGTGTCCACATGCTGTGTTGGTGGTCTCGTGGAGATCCAGGTTTTCTAATAGTCCTTTCAAGCTTCTCTGGAAAGAGCTTGATCCGGGGGGATTTAATATCCCGAGATATGTTTGTAATTTGCAGTGTTCTTGCTAATTTTTTTTTTTTTTAATTTCTTTTTTTTTTTTTTTTTTTGAGTTTAGGAAATAAAAGTTTTGACTTCCTTGCGGTGCTTTCGGTTTTGTTCCTAAGTGGGTAAAGCCCGTCCGCTTTCATCCGAGAAAATCAGCATTGTTCCAAGTTCTTGTTTATTTTAAGCTCCGGAATGCTCTAGGAAGAACATATGTACATCTGTTTGTTCATTTTATTTACAGAAATACAGAGTTTGACAAATACCTTGAGCATAACCTTGTGTAAAAGCTGGAAAATGTCAGGCTGGAGTTGGCTTTTGAAGCTTTAAATTTATTTTCCGCTCACGCTCGGACTGAGGGTTTTGTGTTCCCAGAGAAGAATGATGCGGGGTCGGGAACTGATTTACACCGAGCGAGGTGAAAACTCCATATTTCTTTCCTGCTGCCTGCTAAAGGCGTCCTAAATTAGTCTTTTTTTTTTTTTTTCCGTAGGTTTATGCCCCGTCAGCAAGCACTGCCGACTACAATCGGGATTCACCAGGTTATCCATCCTCAAAACCAGCAGCCAGCACTTTTCCCAGCTCCTTCTTCATGCAAGGTAAGGCGTCGCTTTCCGAAGGAAATCTCTTTTACATCCGTTTCCTGCCTTGGTGGTTGGGTTCAGCGCCGGAATGTCGTCTCGTGGGCTGTAACGTTACCATGAAAACGAAGACCTCTACGTCTTCGTTCGCCCGTTGTGCCTCCCAGCAGCTTGGTTTGATCCCAAATATCTTGTCAACCTCTTAGCATCCGAGATTCTGGAAGTAATTGGATTTTTTCCCAACCTGTGCACGCACGTATGCGACACGGATACTAAACGCGTGCAAATTCAGGCACGTACGTTCTGCTTTGGTTCATGTTCCCAAGAAAGAATCTGTCCTACGCGAAGCGTACGGTGCTCCACGGATATCCGCGTGCGGAATGCGAGCAATTTTTTTGGTGATGAAGGCATCTCAGTTGAGGATGGGTTGATGATTTGCATCTCTCCGCCGCTGGCGTGCCGTCTTTCTCGCGATGATGACGTGCAAGTACAGGGAAGTTTGGTGTAACTTCAGGACTGAAATTCCTGCAGTTTGGAAAGAGCCACGCGCAATTAGGGTATTCGTTTTTACGGGAAAATAATGAGTTTTTAAACACTTCTGCTTTAGGCTAAGTACTCGAGCGCTGCGAGGAGGGGTTCTACTGCTCTGCCACCAGCTCTGGTGGGTCCTCATGGGAGGGAAGAGGATATGGTTGGAAGCGTTGACCCTTTGGGTCATCTCCTGCCATGGGGGGTCTGCATCTGGACCGTTCCTTGAGCGGTGGTGGGAAGTATGACCCACGACTGGGAAGAAAAAGGTGCTCTTGGCTCTAAAACGTGGCTAAATACCACCCAAAGAGCGACCTGCTCTGAAGCTCCTGTAGACTTACAAAGCTGAGGATTAATTGGCTTCTAATGATGGCAAATATTTAACCCTTTGTCGTGCTGCGCCGTTCTGCGGTTTGAAGCGGCGGTATCTTCCCGCAGATTCCTGTTGAAGACGGAAATGGGAGTTAAATAACTGTTCAAACAGCCCTGGGAAGATGATGGCAGAAATGCTGCTGCTGCCGGGGGGTTTGAAGTGTAGAAATAAGGCAGGGCTGTAGGTGGGACATCATTTTATTAGACCAGCTCCTGTACTTTTTAAAAACTGAACAACTTTTCCAGCCCGCGTGCCCGTCTTTCAGGTCTGCTGATGGTTACGGAAAAGTTACTCCTTTTTTTTTTTTTTGGTTATTTTTTGTTGTTGTTGTTAACACATTGGCATCCTTCCCGTAGAAAATACGTTTCGCTGCATTGTTATCATTCCTTTCCAGTTGAATGCAAAAATAGGCAACCAACTGGTTTACTGGATGGAATCTGGGGAGCCCTTTTGGCGCTCTTCAGCGCGCGTCGGACCTCGGCCGTGCGCTGGCCCGAAGGCCGAGTGCTGGGCTTGGGAGGTGCAGATCCCCAAGCTGCGAAATCCCTAAAAAGAGAAACCATTCCAGTGGTGCTGCTCTCTTTTGAAACAAACAACCCAAAAAAGCAACAACGAAAACAACTCCGAAAACTTTTGGGCTGTGGCAACATTGAAAGTTCAGGCTTTGACCTCAACGTTGACCACGTTGAGGCTTCTCCAAAGCTCCTTAGCCCATCCTCATTCTTTAGACTTCAATATATTTTCATTTCAATGTCCAGACTTTTGTTTCTGATGAAATTTCTTTCTAATGGAGTTGATGTAGACGAGTTTATGAAACCAGAGCTGGAATAAAGCAGCAGGAAACTTTCAAACCCAAGTGACGCGACCGTAACGAAGCACCGCGGGACGACACGAGCGTTGCTTCGTTTAAATTAAACCACGTGGCTTTATGCTGAGCCCCGCGAGGGTCGTTGGGACGGGGTTTGCGGAGGCGCGGAGCCAGCGGTGTTTCCCTCCTGTGTTGCAGATGGTCATCACAGCAGCGACCCGTGGAGCTCCTCCAGCGGGATGAACCAGCCCGGCTACGGGGGCATGCTGGGCAACTCTTCTCACATCCCCCAGTCCAGCAGCTACTGCAGCCTGCACCCGCACGACCGCTTGGTAAGACACGAGGATGGATCCGGGGAGGGGTCGCGTGGCGGCGGTGGCGATGGGCACGTCGCACCTACCCGCTCGTGGAACGGGCACGTCTAAAAATGTTGTCCGCGCGTCATCGTGTGTTCCCAACTCTGCAGAAAGAATTGAGAAATGGCAAGATGGCGTTGCCTTGGAGTGATTTTTTGATTCAGGCTCTGCTGGGAAGAAGGAAAGTTTGAAGCTGGAGGGTGGCCCAGGCTGGGAAGGCCCCGGGAGCGGAGGTGGCTGCCTCTGCCTTTGGAAGGGTGATGATTAGGTCCTGCCACAGCTTCACCCTGTGTGCAGTAGCTGTTTCTGCTGAAGGTGTTCAAGGTCAGGTTGGATGAGGCTTTGAGCAACCTGGTGTAGTGGAGGGTGTCCCTGCCCATGGCAGGGGGGTTGGAACTGATTGATCTCGAAGGTCTCTTCCAACCCAAACCATTCTATGATCAATATTCAAATTATTATGTAGGAATTAGTAACTTGACACAAACTGCTGAAGACTTTGCATCATGTTTTCCATCCCTGGAGGTGGGATTATCAGAATTAGGTGGCTTTTCATGGGATCAGTAGAGGTAGGACAGCCAAGCGCCACCTTGGAGGTGTTCAAGGCCAGGTTGGATGAGGCTTTGAGCAACCTGGTGTAGTGGCAGGTGTCCCTGCCCATGGCAGGGGGGTTGGAACTAGATGGTCTTGAAGGTCCCTTCCAACACAAACCATCCCATGATTCTATAAGATCACACTCCTGTACATATCACAGCCTCTCCTAGTGCAGCTGGGAAGGGAAAAGAGGAGGAAAAAACTCTCGCGCAGACTCATCCTTCAGCTGATGTTGCCAGAAGAGGGTCGAGCCCGTGGTTGTACCCTCTGCTCGTCCTGGGGCCACCAGCTTGCCCGTGAGCTGCACCCACCTGTGCTTTTTGGTGGTTTTGATTTATGGCAAGCAGTGTCCTCTCCTGGGCTGAGTCGATAGATAACTATCTAGCATCAATTTTCTGCTTTCAAAAAAGAGAACGTGGTTGGGTTTTTTTTTTATTTTCTCCGGTACATCCTGATCTCTCGCAGGAGGAAGTTGCTGGGACCGATTCCATCTATTGTATTGGAACAGAATAAAATGGGAATTAAATCTGATCTGTGTACAGCTTAGGGGATGTTCTCCTAATATCACGGCTGAGTCGATGATGTAGAAATAACACTGGTTTCCATCAACACAGTTTATTGGGTTTGGTTTGATTTTGAGTAAGAGGTAAAGAAACGAACAGACAGCTGAAGCGAAGTCATTTTTCTCCAAATTCATAAAACTTTACGACTAATATTCTTCTACACCTCTACTTTTCGATCTTGAAGACCATTAACAACGGAAGAGTTAACGAGGAGCACTGGTTTTAAGGGAGGAAGGACTCCGTTGCTGTCAAAGCCTCGCAGAACCATCTTTTGGGGAATAAGAACTGAAGTCGTTCTTGCGAACCGAAAAATTCATTTGCAAAACAAATCTTGAAAGTCGCACATTTAACGAGGTCGGCGCGCCGCTCTGTAAAATTAATAGCGAGGCAAAAGCAAAAGAATTTCTTGGGTTTGTAACATGTCGGGGTTTTTATGAAGAGCTGAAGTACTTCTGCGATGTAAAATGGGTAGGGATGTTCCACCTAAAGTCCCCCAACCGTTTGTCTATGTAATTATTACTATATTTATCCTAAATTTCAGAGGTGGTGAGGACCAGTGATACCGGTGTGAGTTGTAGGTGCTCGGTGCCGACGATGCTCCCATCAATCATTTATTATCTGTGTCTGGACTGGCAGAGCCTTCTGTGTTTTTGGTAGCCCTGGGATGGAAGAGAGGCAGTGATACTTTAAATATTCTATTTCTGCTGGAGCATCCATGAGTGGTCAGCTTGTTGAGGAAAGTTTGAGTTTGGTTCCCTGCAAATGTCCTTAATTTCTCAGCGACCTGGAGAGGAAATGCATATGGACAAGGGCCAATGGATTTAAACTGAAAGAAGGTAGATTTAGATGGGATCTAAGGAGGAACTTCTTCACTGTGAGGGTGGTGAGGCACTAGACCAGGTTGTTGAGAGGAGTTGTGGCTGCCCCATCCCTGGAAGCGTTCAACGCCAGGTTGGATGAGGCTTTGAGCAACCTGGTGTAGTGGAGCCATGGCAGGGGGGTTGGAACTGGATGATCTTGAAGGTCCCTTCCAACCCAAACCATTCTATCATTCTACGAAAGAAAGAAAAGCTGTTTTATTATTTTTACTTTCTCAGGATTTTCTAAATAGATTCATTGAATGGCGAGAACTGTTCTCCACTAAGCTATGTCCACATCTCCTGTTTTGCCTAAAACTTTGGGCCATAGTGGCTCAATGAGAATATCCCAAACCAGCACTTCCATACGTGCCCTGGATCAGCCGTTTAGTGGAGGAGCTGGAGTCACTTGTGTGCAGACCGTTGACCTGAGCGCTCGTCCGTGACTCGTTTCTCCGTCACACGAGAAATGCTGTTGAGCTCTGCCGCTTCAGCCAGTTGGGTTCGAGGCTGAAGTCCTGGAGTGGTTTATAATGAGTCAAACCATTGTTCAAACCTTGGTCAGAGTTGATGGTCATTTTTCCGTGGATAAGAAAAATAAGTTGGGGCTATGTCGTTCACGTTCTTTGAGATGACTTTCAAGTGTTCAGTTATTTGGCACTTAATTACAAGAAATCCTGAAAAAGTCATTAAATGCAGGGAAGGATGGTTTTAGACACCGTAGGGAGGCAGAGGGCACCAAGGTGATCTTGCTCTGACGTCTTGATCCTGGGCCAAGGGCTGCCACGTGTCTCCAGCTGCCCGTGTTTCTAAGGAGGCTTTGTGTCAGAGTCTCCTAAACCTAGAGGTCTTCTGCAGGACCTCTGTGCTGGGGGCGATGCTGGGATGGAGATAAAAGCCGGGCATGTTCTAGGACCTGTCTGCGCACAGTGTCTTTAAGAATTAAGAAAATTAATTTAAGATGAAGAAAAGACTCGTTAACGGTGCCAAAGGACACTAACGTCAACCAGGTTTATAGTGACACAAATTCAGCAAAACGTTTGACCGCAGCAGTGATGTGTCACAGGAGGGAAGGTTTGTGTTGGTCATCATAGAATCATGGAATGGGTTGGGTTGGAAGGGACCTCAAAGATCATCTAGTTCCAACCCCCCTGCCATGGGCAGGGACACCCTCCACTACACCAGGTCGCTCAAAGCCCCATCCAACCTGGCCTTGAACACTTCCAGGGATGGGGCAGCCACAGCTTCTGCAGGCAACCTGGTCCAGTGCCTCACCACCCTCTGAGTGAAGAATTTCTTCCTTAAATCTCTTCTAAATCTCCCCTCTTTCAGTTTAAAGCCATTGCCCCCATAGTAGAGTCTTCTGTGTTGCTGCCCAGACGCTTGTCCCGTGCTTGTTTGGAGAACTCGATCCGTTGCGTTTTCGATCATCTGTGGCACGGAGGAACTGCAACGGGAGGGAACATTGGTCCAGTTGGTTACCCAAGGTGCCAGTGTGTTTCCTTACGGAATATTTTGTAATATCAGCCGTTCACCTCTGGTAGTCCAACCTTGGTTTTAATGCCAAAAGCAGTACGGGGTTTCTACCACTTCCCTTGGAAGGCTTCTCCTCCAGCTGATAGCTGTCCCTCTCAAAAAGGTTTGCTTGATACATCTCCTAACCTTTTTTAATGTCTTCTCGTTACTTCTCTATGGTAGATGAACCATCCACTGTGGAAATTTATCCGTATCAGATAGGGATATGCCATGTCTCCTCCAGAAGATGTGAAGTCAGGGTAGAAAAATATGCTCCTTGCTTAGTCTTAGGGCAACGTTCTACCTTTCTCGGTTGGGTGAAGTACGTCAGCGCTTGGGACTGGGGCAATACGAGCAGCCTGGCTGCCTTCCGTGGTCTCAGTAGTTAAAATATTTCCCTTTTTTTTATCCTTTTGCCACAGAGCTACCCATCACACTCCTCAGCAGACATCAATTCCAGTCTTCCTCCGATGTCCACCTTCCACCGCAGTGGCACAAATCATTACAGCGCGTCTTCTTGCACACCCCCTGCCAACGGGACGGACAGTATCATGGGTGAGTTGAGGTTGGGCGCTGTGGCCATCGCCCGACGCTCTCCCTTTTCCATCTGTCTCCTCTCGCGTCTGCTTCGGTGCCCTGTGCTCATGCCAGAGAGGCTGGAATCGAGGCGGAGGGTTGTTGGATGGTGTATCCCGGTGCGCGGAAGGACTGGATTCTTAGCTCAGTAGGTGCAGAGAGCAAGAATTTCATGGAAGTAAGTACATCATAGTTGACCTTCGCTTCCTCTGCTTGTGCATTTTTCTCCTACTTTTTGTGATTTAAATAAAATTGCAGCAAAGCACTTTGCTTCAGAGTTGGCACGGAAGACGTCGCACCAGTTCAGTGCCTGGTCCCGCTGGTTTTGAAGGCTGGTTTTATTGTCTTCTTTTATTGTTCTGTATCAGGACGTTCATCAGCTTCATTTCGTTGCTGGGTTGCCACGTGGGGTGGGAGGAAGCGACGATGGCGACGCGTCCCTGTAAGGACGTCGCCGAGAGTGACTCTAAATTAAGAGCAAATCTCTATATGGAAATACTTGGCAAAGAGCAGCTCATACTTCAATCCAGGAAATAACAAAAAAAACCCACAAAAACTGCTTTGCCTGTATCTCAAAGAGCAACTAAAGCAAATTAAATAATTGGTAAATAGGGAACACATCGCCGGACACATGGTTCGGATTACGGACGTGGTTGGGCCGCGAGCAGGACTAATGCACTAAGAATCGTTAGTAGGTTCAAGTGTTAACACATGGGCATCATATTTTTCAAGATCTCTGAACAAAAAAGAAACTAAATACAGTCTCTTCTCCATTTGGCGCTGTCTGGGAAAAGCAGATCCTGTTTCAGGAGAGCGATTCCGCGCTCCGTCTCGCCGCTCCGTCGCGAGTTCTTCCGTTAACGATGCGTCGCTACTTCTGCGTGCGCGGCGTCGGAAAATCACTCTCACTTTTTCTCAACGAGTCCGGTTTAATTCGCTGTCTTCGCGCCGGTTACGTAGAAACCTTACCGATAACCATAGAACCATAGAATGGTTTGGGTTGGAAGGGACCTCGAAGATCATCTAGTTCCAACGTTTCGGGCAGCGAAATCTCATGGAGGGACATCACCAGGTACGCTCTGGAGCCCCCCAGAAATTCCCTACGTCAAAAACACATCCAGATTTTCTCCTGGATTCACCTCCTGAAAAACCCGGCGTGTGAATCAGAAGAGCGACGGTACAAACAGGCGGATTTTTTTTGTTGAGCAGCTGTAAATATTCACCAAGTAGTATTGTTGGGCTGCGGCGGAAAGTATTTCAGACAAAAAGTATGTCTTGGAACTCAACCCAAGTCCTGTTCTCCTCCTAAACCAACGAACCTCCCCTGAAATCTGGGCACACGCTGTCTTTTCCCTGATTTTTTTCCCGAGAAAGCCGTTTGAGCCTGCGCAACCGGGAGTCGACGTGCCTCCGTCCCGGTCCCCGGGGCGAGACGACGCGCAGCCCGGCCACTCTGGCCCCGTGTAGCTGCTAGAGACACGGCCCATCATCATCATCATCGGGCAGATGAGCTGCGTTCCCCGGTGGTCGTGCAGCTTTGAGAGGCAGCAGGGAGAAAAATCCTTCCGAGGGACTATGGGATGGCACTGGCGATGGATAATTTTCCGCTAAGCGTTGACTTTTTCCGGGAGAAACGCGTGCGTTTCCCCTCGAGGCACTGGTTTCACAGGAATTTTATGAGCAGAGCAGTCCCAGTACACTCCACTGTGTATTTTACAACCACGCTGAACTTCCAGTTACGAGAAGGTGGTGAGCTGTCGCCTGGGATAAGAAGACTATGACTTTTATCCAGCGATGTCACTTCCTTTATAATTCGGGCGGATCGTCAGCTGTGGATACCGAGATGGTGCGAGTTTTTCCACTCTTCTTAACGTAGAAACATCATTTCCAGTCCACTGTTTCAGAAACATCATCTGGTTTGGACTGGAATTTCAACTCTCAAAAATCTGGCTGCAGTTCTCTACTAGAAGGCTCCAGCCTATGGGTTACACTAGATGCCCAGAGAAGTTGTAGATGCCCCATCTCTGGAGGTGTTCAAGACCAGGTTGGATGAGGCTTTGGGCAACCTGGTGTAGTGGAGGGTGTCCCTGCCCATGGCAGGGGGGTTGGAACTGGATGATCTTTGAGATCCCTTCCAACCCAAACCATTCCATGATTCTATGATTCTGTGCTTTGCTCCATATAGTTATGCTCGCCAAGGTACAGATTCTTGGAAGTTTATTCAATAACCTTCAGATTTACAACCAGAATCCCACCAGAAGGATGGGAAAAGGCTGTACTCCATCATTCCGTCCCTTTGTCTTCCAGGGCAGAGTTGTTCTGTGTAGAAACACGCTGAGAAAGTTTTAGGAGATGGAACTACGACAATAAACACGCTCTTCGACAGCGGTGGAATCAATCCATCAAAAAGTCGTCTTGGATGCGTTCACGATGGCTTCGGTGCGTCAGTAGTGAGCGGGGGAACAGCTTTTTGTGGTGGGTTTTCCAGGGCCGTTTTACAATCCCATTCCCAAGTTGTCTTTGGTTTCGGCATCGGGCCAAAATCAGCTGCTGCGTCGTGTCGGGGAAGCCAACGGTTGGGCTCAGCTGCCTACTGCATGGAGATGGACTTTGCTTACCTGCTTTAAGTTCTTTCCCTGGAACTTTCGTCAAGCGTTCCCTTGCTTTTCCCTCCAACCTTTGTCCACCATCGATTAATTGAAACTTTTCTTGAAGTCTGGATTGGACTATTTCATTCAGTTAAAACCCGATGCAGAAATGTCTTGGATAAATGGTGCCCTTCCAGGTCTGGGCGAGTTCCCTACCGTTCCTTGCACGAACTTGGTCCGTTTTTTGCGTAAGAACTTGAAAACATCTGTCCTTGTTGAGACCGAAAGCTCACCTACTCAACACTTCTGTCTCCAGCAAATAAAGATTTTCTTGGGAGGAATATAAAAACAAGCATATATAATGTTTTTCCAGTCGTTCCAGCACCATGTTTAGGAAGCTTGGAGCTCATTCTTCTCCATGAAGTGGCCAGGCCTTTCCTGGAGGCTTGACGTGGCACGGTGACGTTACGTATTTGTGGAACGGTGCTCCACCTCTGTCGTTCTGATCCTGCTCCCTGGAGACCTGTTGTGGTCCTCCCTCTTTCTCATGTTGCTGTAAGCACCACAAGATAACCTTTCTGCCATCTGGTTTGGCCTTAAGTAGGCTTTTCCAAGCTGGAGGATCAACATTTGTTGAGTTGGCCCTCTAAAGGAACCACCCTCTGCTTTTTCTGACTTCACTTCTTCTATCCTGTAGACCTTGATGCTCTCTTGATGGGATCTTTCCTCCGTACCCAAAATACAGGTGTGTCGTGAATTCCTAGAGGGTCATAACGGCCTTCTGGGTTGTCTCTGCTCTTTGCCCAGTTGTTGCTCGTTGTTGGGGAGAGCTTGCCTGTGTGTATTTATGGCGGAAGGCTTTTTGCCCCCGGTGTTCGATGCCTGGTGGCTTTTACGGACGTGTGGCATTTGTTGCAGTGTTACAAGGGCCGCTCTTTGCACGTCACATAAAATTTTTATTATCCTGAATCAGGGTCTTGCCAAACATCACAACCTCTTTTAGTTTCTTCAAGAGCCTTCAAGAAGTGGCTTTGGGGAAAGCTGAGAGTACAAATCCGTTCTGTTTACTGGATCTCCTGCATGGATGTGCTGCTCATCATGTTTTTGAAAGTAGTCAGATTTGCAGGACATGTTTTCCTCCAAAAAAGCCGTGTTGGTTGTGCAACGTGATGTATTTATCCGTGCGTATGTTGCTCTGTGTTCTCTTTCCTAGCAGAGAAGTCAGATTGAAAATCTGATGGCTCTTTGAATTCACAGAACTTTGTTTCCAGTATTGGTTTTGAAGATGTTCTACCTTCTGTACTTCATCCCTAAGCAGTCAGTTTTACACTGGGATTAGAAGTTAGACAATTTTATGTTTGAGTTTCTGGAGAGCTCGTAGAAACATCGTTTCGCTCGTCTTTATTTTTCTTTTTACTGATTTATTTTAAAACTTTTACATTGACTCTTCAGTTGGAGCCAGTTTTTCTGACTAACCCCTTGCAAAATATCATCTGTCCCATGGCAAGGCAGACGAAAATCATCTGTTTAGCATTTCTTCTGTTACCCTTTTTTGCCTCGAATTCTCCTGTTGCTACCAACGGTCCGGCATTGTGCCTATTTCTGATGGGCTTGAAAAAGCTTTTTAATCATGGCTTTTAAGCCATTAAAATTGCTCTTTCACAGGTTTTTCTTTTGGTCCTACACGTAAATTACGTCAAATATTTGCTGAAGATGCTCCATCTTGCTCAACTCCTACATCTCAATGGGTTTTCTTCGGAAAGCTGAAGGCAAGTGGAGGAGAACTTGTTAGATGTGATGAAAGCCTTTTTATTTAGATAGGACCTGACAGTTGTGGTGCGCACCGAAGCTGTCATAGAGTCATAGAATGGTTTGGATTGGA